CATTTGTCATTTCGGGGCATTCTATAGCTATATAGCATCAACAACAGATAGCTGAAAGAAAATGCACACAAGTCACTAGTAAGACCATCACTAGAATGTGCAAGCGCAGTATGGGATCCCCATCAACAAAACAACAAGATAAAAATGAGATGGTACAACGCCGAGAGGCTATTCTGCGATATTCAAAAACCTTCGGGGAAATTAATAGTAATGCTGAATTACATATATAAAAGATATCTTTTGATGAGAAAACTTTTTAAAATCACAATGCCGTGTATTTTTAGGGGGCTGCTCATTAAATTCAATACAAAACCTTTTCTTTGCAATGCTATATATACACAACGCCCGGCGATTTAAGTCACTTTTTCAATCAAGTCCATGAAAACATCGACGTCCCAAGATCTTCAACGACTTCAATTTTATTCCATAAAACCATTAACCATTACAGGATGATACATGCAAGGAGGCAACGGTATGATCATCTACCATCACAGGATGATATATGTAAGGATGCAGCGGTATTATCATCTACCATCACAGGATGATATATGTAAGGAGGCAATGGTATTATCATCTACCATCAAAGGATGATATATGTAAGGATGCAGCGGTATTATCATCTACCATCACAGGATGATATATGTAAGGATGCAGCGGTATGATCATCTACCATCACAGGATGATATATGTAAGGAGGCAGCGGTATTATCATCTACCATCACAGCATGATATACGTAAGGATGCAGCGGTATTATCATCTACCATCACAGGATGATACATGTAAGGATGCAGCGGTATTATCATCTACCATCACAGGATGATACATGTAAGGAGTGAGCGGTATTATCATCTACCATCACAGGATGAAACATGTAAGGAGTGAGTGGTATTATCATCTACCATCACAGGATGATACATGTAAGGAGTGAGTGGTATTATCATCTACCATCACAGGATGGTACATGTAAGGAGTGAGTGGTATTATCATCTACCATCACAGGATGAAACATGTAAGGAGTGAGTGGTATTGTCATCTACCATCACAGGATGATATATGTAAGGAGGCAGTGTTCTTATCATCTACCATCACAGGATGATATATGTAAGGAGGCAGTGGTCTTATCATCTACCATCACAGGATGATACATGTAAGGAGGCAGTGGTCTTATCATCTACCATCACAGGATGATATATGTAAGGAGGCAGTGGTCTTATCATCTACCATCACAGGATGAAACATGTAAGGAGGCAGCGGTATTGTCATCTCTTAAAACGTGAGTGAGTAATTTATATACAATAATAAGGAATTACGGCGTCACTAATGTAACAAAAGCTTAACCAATGTCACACAGACCATGTTCTGCAATCATTGCTTCATCTCGTAAATTTATGTCGTCCAGATGTTAATTATCTAGTATCTTTAAAAGGTTGCAAGGATCGTGTCGTGATATTACAAAGGTGTTTTTATTCACATTTTCGACGTATTAAAATAATATCAACATATAAATAACGATCTTTTTTGTATGAAGTGTAAATAATTTCAAACTTATCATGGTAGGTTACATTTAGAAATTAATGTTAATAGTGTGTCAAGTTTAGTCCATTCCTTTTATTAAAGTATTCTGGATTTGACAGCCAAAATCATGAAAATGTTAAAACGCTCGTTGTAAATATGTTCAATAACCATTTGAATTTTCACTTTCAGAATAGTCTTTATTTGCGATATAATACACACAAAAAAACCGGAACAAGGTAACTGATTACTATATGACCAAAGTACTTATATTGTATCATTTAGACAAAAGAGATTGACAAAAATTTCAGAACTCCCCCCCCCCCCCTCCCCCCTTATAAATTATAAAACGGAGATCAACAAAAACAAAAATATAATGCCACAGGTCAATGCAGATATTTCCTCTCCATATATACATAATTATAAACTTCCTGGGATTCGAATAATAAATAGTATTGACTAGCATGGTATTTGTATGCGTTATTGATCATCACGGGTACAGTTTATTTGCTTGTTTTTTCAACATACAGTGATGGATTAGTATAATTACTTTGCTTGAGTAATTAGTGTTCTGCCTGGTTTTAAGTGCATGAAAGAAATGTTTCTATCGAATGGGTATTTTAATGTATGAGTATGTTTTAATGTATGAGAATTTTATAATTTTGATTAAATATCAAAATGACAGATTTTTAAGCTTTAGAGGAACATATTCGCCCGAATATATCCTCCAAAGGCAGTGATTTAACTTTTTTGTACTGTAAAATAAACCAAAATTAAGTGACACCTCATTTAATTGGATGTAAGACCCGCTTGAATTCAATCCACTTTATGCTTTATTGGTTCAAATTTCAAACTATAAACGGTGAACCAAGAACCACTATCTGTGTAGTTGATTTCCCTTGAGGGAAACTGTATCCATTTCAATTCAAACTTCAATACAGAAATCTCCTAATGACATAATATTACTTCTGAATATTGAACCAACGATAAAAGTATCTGGTTTCCTGTTGGGGACAAACAACAATCAATCTGTTATGAACACGTACTTTTATTTCTCAAACTCATAACACTTCTTTAAATGCATCATCGTAGTGGGGGTAATGTATTATGCACGATAAAAAGCTGATCACATTATTTTATTTTATACAAGCATCATGAAATATGAATGACACACATTCTAAGTTTTGTAAAGAACCAAACACTGCAGTAATCAGAACAATACAGCGATGCGATTGTTTTTGTAAGACAAATGAGCTATTGTATCATGCAGCTCTAAATGTTGTTACAAATTTTGTGCTTTGATGATTTGATATTCACCAAAGGTTATCAAAAGCAAAGACTAATTCTCAAAAACAGATAGCTAATTTCAATACTTAAGGTCATATCTTCTTGTATTGATACTAAAGACAACAAATAACAAAAATAGTTTACATTCATGGCATAGATCCGCAAAGCTTTTCAACTTTGTACTTGATTTGTCCTTTCAACTTTTGTATTCGAGCAACACTGGCAGTCTTTTGTACAAAATTATAAGCCTGATATATTTGACGAAATTTGTTTTTATTACTCATTTTTCTTTCAAAAGCAATCGCCTATTGTTTTGGAAGACATTACGTTTCATACCGGAAGTCTGTACAAAGCTTGCGTATATAATTGTACATGCACTTGTATATAATCTATCGCTTTGTTATAATTGACTTTTGTAACGGGTTGCTTATTAATTAAGTAATCAGAACTATTGTTTCTATTTTAAAGAGGTCTATATTATGTTATTGGCATCTGTCAATTTGACGAGACATATGGCAGCGATTGTAATAGTGGGTTGAATATTCATTGGGATTTACTGTTATACCTTATTTGTATGCAATTGCTAATAAATATTACAATTCAATTCAACATATTTCATTTAAGTCTCATCCCTCAATAATATATAATACACCATTACATTAAGTGTAAAATATAGATACAAAATAGAGAGCCATTCTGTTCAGAATTATAAGAGACTATAACAATGATGGTACAATATGGTCAATATAGACATGATAGAAGTCGGTCGAAATTTAAGGCCGTACAAACTGAATCAACCTTATAAAGCTTTAATTAGTCATTACGCTGTTAAAACATGTCGGTTTGTGAAAAGAGTAAAATATTCACCAAATATCACGATAAAATGTACATGCATTTAAATGATTCTTTAGAAAAAAAATATTTTGAATATCATTAATTTTTCTGTCTGACGCATATGGTATATATAGCACATCCTAAGGAGATTGTAATTCTTACATCTTGGGCACGAGTACCATATATACTTATATTGTGAGAATAAATCAAAAACGTACATTGTATGCACCTAATGATAAGATTTGTTGATAATACTTGAAGTATGGATCTTGAGAGTCAGTACATTATACGTTTTAAAGTGAAATGATGAATAAAAATCGTGCAATATATAATATGTATACATGATTGCCGTATCGTTGGCGTATATCCTGAACCTCTTTAAATTTAAATTCAAGCAATTTGCCTCCTAACTTGGAGACCGGTAATTTTGTTCTTAATTATGTCAGAAATTTGGAAACCGGTAATTATGAATATGGACTTGGATAACTTGTGATCATTGTAATTTTGAAAATAATTTTCTTGCTATTTAGACAAAACAAAATTTCAAAATTCAAAATAGCATGTTTTTATATTTTCATGGTCATTCTTTTGAAATTTTAGCGAAAGAAAATATTTTTTGTGGTGATACCAATAACAGAATGGCAAATTCCCGTACATTATCATACGACCGCGTGTGGTGATGGACAAGTTAAGCAAGTGCAAACAAAAAACAAGCGTAGAAACAGTATCCTGCTGGACCCTTTAACAAGCGTGGAAACAGTATCCTGCTGGACCCTTTAACAAGCGTGGAAACAGTATCCTGCTGGACCCTTTAATTGTAACAGATTACTAGAAAAAAGACCCTATATATCGGAAATAAAAATGGCCAAGTAAATCTACTAGAAGGAGGCAATTACTGTGGATGAAATATAATGGAATAGCACATTTTCATCTTGCATGAATTGAAAAAAAAACCTCTACATGAAACATCTATCCACTTTAAGTATCCGCTTGCTCCTTTTATCTCCAACACAGGGAAAACTTGGACTAATATGACTGAATACAGAAAACAAATATCACAGGGAAACAACAGAATATAAAAAGTCATCAAAATCAGAACAATGATACAAAGAATAACTTTTTATCACAAAATTGGTAAGAGCCATACCACATCCCATTTTATACTGATTAGAAAAGGATAAACAATAAACAAAAAAATAGGAATCAAATCAGCTCACATGTATTTTTTGTAAGGCCTCTTTTTATGACGAAAGTGAAAAAGAAATATTGGCATTTTTAAGATGTATAAAACTTTAAGTGTCACAACTTTTATAAAAGAAATATTTTATTCAAAAATGTAGTAAGTGAAATAAAATCGTAAACTTACCTTCAGAAAGTTTAATCCGACTAAAAATCCGAAGGCGTATTAAAAACATGATGTCAAAAATAAGTTGTCACATATTCACTAACAAGAAGTAAAATCCATATGTTGCTAAAGTTTTCCTGTATTGAACTACTCAAAGCATTCATAAAATCAGAATATAATGACCCGGTAAAATCATCGATTTGAGCTATAATTGATTTTTTTGTTCAATAATGCAGGTTTTTTTCTACACATGTAATTTACAATTAAGTTTATGATGCGATTGATATTTTTTTTGCAGCAGTTCGTTATATTACAAGATTTTGTTCAATCGAACCACATTATACAGGAATTACGTGCATCATCATGTTGACTCTATGCATCATTAGTATAACACAATGGAAACGAGTGTTCTTTCCTTAAATACTCCAAACTAACAGATATTTTCGATGCATTAGCCTCTAAGTCTATTTCGTAATATATTCTATGGAGTTCTCGATGTTATTGGATAATTTTAATGATTTACAAGACTTTTGATTGCTCTATTAAAACAATGTAATTTCCATGTTTTTCCATAAATAAACAACAATATGAATGTTCTTTTACATTGATCATGCAGTCAGTCATCATACTTTGTGTATATATTTATTTGATTAAATAAAATGCTTTTGCACTCTATGATTTTTTCTTTTAGTGAATTTGTTTTAAACTAAACAGGTTCATTTTTTTTTACTGATTTATCATGAAGTTTTTTTTAATTGCAATGTAGTTGAAAGGTGCTTAAATTTTAAATCTACTATACATCAATGAGACGACTTTTCATTCCCTATTGTTAATTTTCCTTTTTTAGACGGCGATGTTCCTTTGGCTCCATCATATGGTGTTTATATATCCCAACTCGTTCGTTATTCATGTGTGTGTAGTTAGGTCATAGATTTTAACGAACGTAATCAATGCATCACTGGTAAATTATTAAGTCAGGGATTTCGTAACCATAAATTACGTAAAACTTTTACTAAATTCTTTCATAGATACAAAGATCAAGTAAATTTTGCTGTACCTGTAGAAAACTGATTAAAAACGGTATTTCACATCCTAAATTTTACGGTAATATTGTACTTACAGCGCGGAAATCACTATGTGATCCGTGTAAACTCGTCGAACCTTTAAACAAACTTATTAGTAAAGGTTATCTTACCAATGTTGTAATTAGATCTTGGAATATAGTTTACATTGGCACTTATATCGATTTTGTCATCAGCAAATTAAAACATAACTAAATTTGTATTCTTTTTAAACGGGATGTATAAAGACACACCCACGTTCATTATGATTTATAAAGAGGTTAACTCCTAACTATCCTACTGCCTGTCGATACATTTATTTTTGGCATTGCACAAGTAATGTCTTCTTTGACTGTCCATGACGCTAAAATAATAAATCCCTGGGATGTGTTTTGGTTGATTTTAGTCTCTGATGCATGATTTTTTATTATTAATTGTTTTTGGCTTTTAACTAGCTGTCAGTAACTGCGAGTACTCTCAAATCGTACTTTCTTGTTTATTTGACCTGTTGATACTAATTGTAATGCTTTTTTGTTATTTAATGTTATTCAGGGTTATATCTGGTCTATATACCAGCTTTGATAAGTGTTTGGTATTACTATAAATTTTCACTTCTTCGTACTATGAACATCAAAATTATTTATTTTGTAAAAATATTTCCTTTCTCCATTTGAACTGTACACGTATACCTAACAACAAAATTATTTTCATTTACCTGTGTTTAAAGTAATTGCAAATGGCTGAGATTTTTGTTAAAGCATATTGTTTTTCTTAAATTATTTAATATTTCACAGCGGTATAACATGTTACTTTAATTATTCTTCCCTTAGTTTATTTATCTTGTATTTACATTGTATCATAGATCAAATTTATTTGTTCAGTGTATGTTCACTGGTGTTAATATGTCTTTTGATTGAGTTAAGCAATTTCAAATGATATTTTATAGTGTGTCTTTCTATATTGTCATGTTACACTATTGTTTCAGATAAGGGTGAAAGTTTGGTACCATTAAAACGTTTAAACCCGCTGCAATTGTTTGCACCTGTCCTAAGTCAGGAATCTGATGTTCAATAGTTGTCGATGATGTGGTTCATAAGTGTTTCTTGTTTCTCGTTTTTTATATAGACTAGACCGTTGGTTTTCCCGTTTGAATGGTTTTACACTAGTAATTTGTGGGTCCTTAATAGCTTGCTGTTCGGTGTGAGCCAAGGCTCCGTGTTGAAGACCGTACTTTGACCTATAATGGTTTATCTTTATAAATTTTGACTTGGATGGAGCACTCATACCATATCTTCTTATATCTATGTATTCGTTCCTGTTTTAAAAAATATTTACATTTAGTTTTGATTGAATAATGTCATGCATGGTTTATACGTCTAAATAAAAGATTTATAAAATAACGAATATAAGAAGACAAACGCGGAAAAATGATCAAAGAATGAACGAACAACACAATTTTCCAATATTTCAAGACCGAACGAAGGACACTAGGTAATTAGTCGTATTATTCGGTCACGTGTAGAATATTTCTCGATATTCGAATTACTGGAACATTGCAACAAACATAACTGTGAACGTCAAAGAAATAACAACCCTTCCCTATCACCATCCCCTCAAACCACACAATTTTAAATCAAATATAGACAACTACTGTAAATCTGCAAACGGTATCCAACGATGAAAAAGCATCCGCAACCAAGCTCATATTCTCTATTCAAGTAAATTACAGTTGAGATAAAAAAAAATCAAACACAGATCACCAAATACTTTGAAGTGACGCAAACTTTTCAAAAGACAAAAGCTAAAAAAATCTTAGGAAGGCGACCATCATGACTTAGAACGTTGATATGTTTGTCTTCAAAACAGATTTGTGAATACTCAGAAATCCTCCTTATTATCTCGACCAATAATAGGTAAGATTTTATAGTTAAAAATAAAGCCAGGAAATAACATTATCATATCAGTTCTGTAGAAAATGAAACACAACTATTAAAAAAACAACATAATACTACAAAACCCAATGCTTGCATTCCTAAAATCAAGCAAAACATGCATTGACATTGTTAACAATTAAATCATGCATTGCACTGCAATAGTGTACTCCTATATGTCTTTTATCTAATACGTACTGTTTATTTTATTGAACATGAGAAAAAACTTGCTTACCTGGTGTTCATTTTTAGATATATTGAAATGTGGATTTAAAGCATTTCATTTAATTCTATTTATTATAAACTAAAAGCTTATATATTTTCAATTGGTGTTTAAAGAGTTAAGTTTCCAAATGCTCATATATTCAAACAAATGTGTTGCATGTAATTTTTTTTAATTTATTAACATGTTATTCCTCTTTTAAAAATTCAGACTTTTAAATATGAAAAAATAAGATAGACATTTTGATTAAAAACCCATAAGGCGTAACAACGGACCTGATGCTTTGTGTTCCCAGTACAATGTGTAATTTTACAATGTACACTCAAAAATGTTTTATTTCTTGGAAACTTTTACCAATCAACGGTCTCGTAAACAATTAAAAAAACTTTGTAACGAAGCTAGAGTAATGCACATAGAATCAACAGACAAATATCTTTATCAGTAGTATGTTTATAATTTATAAATTAAAGTTTAAGTAATAAGTCGATATACAGTGTTTAACTTTTTTTATTCTAGACAAATACAGAGACCATTAAAACAATTACAGTCAGTCATAAATAATAAGAATTGAATGGAAAACAATTAATTTTACATGACCTTGAAGGTAATTATCTAATTATGAAAAGATACGATTGATTAAAAATCTTTAGAAACAGGCAACCATTGTGCCAGGAAGTATAGTGTCTTAATAGATCTGATGTAAATGAGGCGGAAATCAGGTAAACTTTACATGAGCTTAATTTTCATTATTTTCATTTAGGTCAAGTAGATACGTATCTGTCAACGACAAGTATTGCATCTAAAATTTGACGTTCAAATACCAAGATGGCTAGACACTACTATACTGTGCACTAGTAAATGAACGTTAGTATAAAACGACCATTTTGATCTTTACATTATATGAAAAGTCTGAACATAAAAACGTCAAGCAGTACTGTTCAGACATTCAATTTAGTATTGTTCAGACATTCAATTTAGTACTGTTCAGACATTCAATTTAGTATTGTTCAGACATTCAATTTAGTACTGTTCAGACATTCAATTTAGTACTGTTCAGTAGTTTTTCAGACAATTTAGTAGGTTGTTGTTTGGTACTACTTAACAGTCTGAACATAACCTGAACAGATCTTAATTGACTAGAAGCAAATTTTTTTGTGAACGGTACTGAATTTACTGTAGTGAATAAGTTTGGAAAATGACTGAAAGACTGAACATGAATTAATAGTTTATTAATCAGTCTCTTACATTATTTTGTAATACCTATTCAGATTAAGATGGCCGTTTCTGTTCAAAATTTGTTTACAAGTACTCCAATTCAGCATTTATTTTAGATTTGTTTCTTGTTTTCTTGGTAGGTGTCATATTTGGTTTAAATATTCACGCATGTTTACATTACAAGGTTCTGCACAGTGGGTCGACCTTCATGGTGGACGAAACATTTGGACGACCACTTGACAAATAGGGAAATTCAATCTTGGATATAGGGACAAACAATTTGGTATAGCAAAAGATCTCCAATGTACCAATTAAAAAGTATAGATGTAATGTTTTTTTTAATAACCACATGAATCATATTTTATGTCAGCACGGTGACTACTGAACTTGTAAAAACCATAAGGATAACTTTCAACTGCAGTGGTATTGACCCAGAAGTTGTAAAAATCTTTAAACAGGCTATTTTTTTTTTAAATCAATCCATTACGCCTCCACATTCATACCTTAGTAAACAAAGATTAAAGGCAAATATATAATTTGAAATAATATAACAAGGTGATTATACTGTTAATAAATTAATTTGAGCTATTTTTTTGTTTGTTTCTATTATTGTGAGCAGCTGGTAGTTGTAATTACGTGACAGATGTTGTAGAATATATATTGTTTCCTCCTTGCTGTTTCAACATCAAAGTAAAATTTTTCTCATTTCATTCACAAAGGAATGCGTCGAAAAAAAAAATATTGGCCATATTCAATTATACGACTTCAAGGATAATATACAATACTTGCAATATGAAGAACATCTCAAATTAATGTGACTTTCATGGAATTTAAAAACATATTAAATGATTATCATGCGCATATCTGTTCTAAATAACTTTGCAATGTAGCAAGAAAACGAGTACCTCAAATTTTATTTTATTTTTGAAAATATTTTACGAAAAGAAAGAGAAGATACCAAGGGGGCAGTCAAAAATCAAAAACAGACAACGACAATAACAAAACACTACA